AAGCTGCCATATGATAAGCCTATATCTTTTCTCCAGAAGTGCTGCAGAGCTCAGTCTTAACATCAAGTATGAAATCAGAAGTAGGCTGAAAGAATGAGGAAACAAAAAAGAATCCCACCATCATGGTGTTAGGGAAGCTCAAGACACAAACCTAGGAAAAGAGAATGTCTCCAAACATCTATAAGCAAAACCTCAGAGAAAAATACAGCTTGGGCATAAATTCAACTAGAATTCCTGAAAGAGATGAAGCAAGATTAAAAAAAAAAAGAATTTAAAATGTTATTTATAAATGAAATGAGAGTTCTTGAGTGGAAAAAAATGGAAAAGAAATGAGAGCTATGGAAGAAATAATTGGAAAGGGAATATCAGAATTGATGAAATGGAAGCCAATGACTCCATGGGGCAGCAAGAAACAGAACAAAGTCAAAAGGCTGAAAAAAATCAGAGAAAATGTAAGGTATCTCATAGCAAAAACAAACTACCTAGAAAACAGGTCAAGCAGAAAAAATTTAAGAATCATTAGACTATCTGAATTGCCTGACTAAAAAAAAAAAAGACATCATATACCCACATCTCTTAGAACTAGAAGGCAAAGCAGAAATAAAAGGAATACCCTGGTCACCTCCCTGATGACTTCCAAATGAAAATACCCAGACACATCATAGCTAAAATCCAGAAAGAAACAATTCAAGTACCAAGTCAGAATCACACAAGATTTAACAGCTGTCATTATAAAGGAGTTAAAAAGATTTAACAACTGTCATTATAAAGAAGAAATTGGAACATAATATTCCAAATGGTAAAGGATATAGACTTATAGCCAAGGATAACTTAACCAGCAAAACAGAATATAATGCGGGGGTGGGGGGGAGAGGGGCGGGGAATGGCCCTTTAATGAAATAGAGGACATCTAAGTGTTTCTGATGAAAAGACCAAATCTATGTAGACACTTTGAAATACAAACGCAGGAGTGCAGAGAAACAAAAAAGAAAGCATGAACGAACAATGATAAAAGACAAAACAAGGATAAACTGCTTTCTTTTAAATATGAGGAGATGATATATATATATATATATATATATATATATATATATATATATATATATATTTATATGTCTCTTCTGAACCCTATCATCTTAAGGAAATCCAATTAAGCCTAGGAGTGATTCTCATATGTCTTGATAATCTTGGGGAAAGAATGAAAATAGAAAGTCATAGCAATAGACTGGGGAGGAAGGGAAAGGAAGGTTAGAGGGAAAAAATTATCTTACATATTCAGATGTGATGGAATACTATTGTGCTGAACTTTATCATTAAAATGACCAATTACCATTTCAGAGGACTAATGATCAAAACATGCTACTTGCCTCCTGATAGAAAGGCAAAGGACACAGAATGAACACATGGCCAATGCTGAAACTTGCTTTGATTGACTATATAGTTGTATTCTCAGTTGTGGTGAAGGTTGGAGTGAGAGGATAGGAAGGCATGTATTGCATATATATACATGTATATATATGCAATACATGTATATATACTTTTTTTTTTGCTTTTTGCTAGGCAATTGGGGTTAAGTGACTTGCCCAAGGTTACACAGCTAGTATGTGTTGTGTGTCTGAGACCGGAGTTGAAATCAGGTCCTCCTGACTTCAAGGCCAGGGCTCTATCCACTGTGCCACCTAGCTGCCCCTATATACATTTTCAATAGAGTGATTTTGGGATGAAGGCTGTGTGATAAGTGGGAAGTTTATTCTTATGGCAAATTTCCTTATATTTGTTGGTCTAATCCTTTTCAATCTGTCCTAGATTTTCTCCATTTTCCTTTTGAGTCTGGAATTCGATGTGAATTTTTTGAAAGTGCAGTATTCTCTCTACTAGGGAGATTTTTTTTTCTAGTAAGGCATCCCACATTTATAAAAAGCATTTTTTCAATCTGGAGTACTCACTTAAATGAGGTCTTTTTTTTAAAAAAACCCAATACTTGTTAAACTGGTGTTGCTACTTTCTGGTTTGGTTTTTTTTTTGGGGGGGGAGGTGTTGTTTTTTTGGTTTCTTTTGGTTTGATTTGGGTTGGGTTTTTGCCACTTTTCAGTTTGCCCTTGCTGGAAATTGCCTTAGCTAGCACAAAATGGAGGCCCTTGTGTTGGTTCCTACTTAAGAGAAAAATCACTAATTCTACCTTCCTAAGTTGGGGTGAGGAGGTAAAGGGACTGAAGACGTTGGTTAGGGCTCCAAATCAGTTAATACTGTATTCAGAGTTACACTTTTAAATTTCTAACATCAAGAGCATCTTTATTATGTCTTAATTGAGCTTCAGACTACTGTGACATTTTAACTATCTTTAATTTCTTTGAACTCCTTTTGTCCAGTTCCTGTTTCTGATTAATCCAGACAGGCTGATACATATCACAGAATTGCGCATCTGTTTGTATTGATTCCGGATTTCACTCTTTTAATTTTATTCTCTGCTTACAAATCACATTTCAAGTGTTCCAGTTGTTTTGTTAGACTGAGCTTCCTTTTTTCCACTTAATCTATCTCTTAGCAAATTAGTACAATTTTCTCTGCATTGAGCTAGTAACTTTTTCATGTTTAAATATATCTTTTGCCAATCCAATTGCCTAAGAATTTGCAAGTTTTCATGCCAAGATAGAGTGAAATGTAAAATGCTCTTTTTCCCAGAACAGAGCCATTCTATATCCTATTCTGAAGGTTCCACCAACTTTTTTTTTCCTCAGACACTATTCTGACCTCACCTGAGTTAATGGGGAAATTGTCCTCAAAGCCCACTAACCTACTATGGCCTGCTTCCTGCCTCATTCTTCTAAGGAATCTGGCCTTAGAACTCATTGATTGAAGGAATCTGATTCTAGACTTTACTGTCTGGCAGGAACCTGGTCTAAGCCTCACCCAAATGACAAGGTGTCTGGTCTTATTCCTGCAATTCTTTTTGCTGTCCTTTTGTATTTTTTCAGGCTTTTTCAGCTTGCTCTCTAGTTAACCTTAAACCCATAACTTGTCTACTATATCTCAATATAAAATAAGTCTACATGTACTAAACAATCATGGAATGGCTTGAAGTTTACAATAGAGCATATAAGATAGTCACCAACTTGAGCATAGACAGAAACACACACAAATACCTCTTAGTATGTCTAACAGTTTAACATATTTACTATATCTAACAAGCCTTTCTTTAAAACAGTCACAGACTTTGTGACCTACATGAGGTGTGTGCAAGACAGGGAAGCTCTATCCTGAAAAATAATCCTACAAAGGGTCAAAATGTCCTTCACCTCTATCTAGTTGACAGAGGAAGTCTTTCAAAGCAGGGCTGTCTAGGAATGCTAGCTCTTAACAGATGCTTAAATCTGAGTCCAAAAATTACTTAACTGTAGAAGAAAATTTCAACACTCTGCTTATTTGGCAAAAGTTTGTCAAAAACAAATTTATTAATCATCTAAACCCGAGCATCTTTGCTTAGAGAGATCCAAAAGGACACAGATCTTCTTCTTCTTTTGAAAACCTCTCTGACCTAAGCCGTGTCCTATTTATAACTTATGGAATTCAAGAGCAGGAGGCAAAATTCCACAGTCAAGATTGGACTAGAGTACAAAATTTAGCTTAAGAGTTTTTGACTCCCCAAACTGTATAAAAGCAACAACTGCAGCACAATCTAAAGAATCCACTTTCCTAAACCTATTTAATCTAGTTAAAAGTGGGAAAAAAAGAGGTACTGATTATAATTGGATTCATCTAAAAGGCTCCTAGCCTTGCCCAGTCACCATCCTCATCTGCAGGGAAATCAGAATTTGTCCCAGAACTTTGATGTAATTTAGATCTCTAATAAGGATGTTACAAAAAGTATTTCAGACTAGAACTGATATAATGTCATGACTTGACATTTCTAAAAGAAGGGAGGGTTAGGCTTAGTAATACTTTCACACATGGCAGCTTTACATTGGTAGCAATGCGAGAGGGACACTTACTTCATCAAAGGAGTGAGGCTCAATGGGAAAATAAAAGGCAAAGAAGGCTGAGCAATGGAGTGTGGGATTATGAATAGTAGGGAAGATGCAGGCAGCAATATGGTTTGTAGCATGAGAGTGACAGAAGGGAGGCAAATCTCCCCAGTGGCAGCAGTGGAATGGGCTTTTTAAAAATTCACTTGTATGTAACAAATATGTTGTCAGGAACTCTTATACATTTGTTTGTAGCATGAATAATTGCTTATTGATATTTCTCACTAGTGTTTCATCAAAAGCAACATCAATAGTCTACCCATTCATCCTTTTTGATATTGTTTTCAATTTTGGTCTAGTATCAAGAATCAAATGGCAAAAGTCACCAGAGTCTTGCATTTTGAAGTGGCCCTAGCACTGTAAAAGTGCTATTGAAAAAGACTGACACATGCTTTTTTCTTAACTTTATTTTTCTTGGTTTTCTTTAGTCTGTTGTCTTCTGCAACATGGTTAATATGGAAATGTTTTACATGACTACATAACTATAATCTATGTCAAACTGCTTGCCTTCTTAAGGGGGAGGGAAAAATTTGGAACTCAAAATTTTATTAAAAAATGTTTAAAAACTTTTAACATGTAATTAGAAAAAATAAAATGTGAAAATTTCGAAAAAGTTTGCAAAGCACTATTGAATAGCAGTATTTAGATTATTAAGGAATAGGATAATGACTTCAAGAGGAAACAAATGACATTTGTATAGTGCTTTAAATTTGAAAAGCACTTTAAACAGGAAAAAAGTAAGAGAATAGTACAGTTATCCTTTCCACATAGAAGGGTTTAAGGTTATAGTGCTCCTTCGATCTGGAAAATCCATGTTAAACTTTTTAGCCTTCCCTTTGTTCCAAAGAAGTGTGAATTTTTTCTTTTCTTTTCTTTTATGGGGTGTTTACAGTGTGTGAAGTTTGGGTATATTTATGGTATTAAAAGATAAAATATGTTGATATATGATACTATACATATATTTTATGCATTTGAGTTTCTAAACTTTTCTGTGCTGGCCTTCACATGTCATCTATGGCTTCCACAAAAAATTCCCATTTCTTATGCCGACCCACGATATATTGAAATCATGATGGGGAAAGCCGAGATGTGGAAGGGATAACTGTAATGTCTTTCCCTCGCCACCTCCACAGGACATTTACTCAAGAGATACACGTTGGGCTACAATTTCCCCCGGGTTAGAATTAACTAATGTTAGGTTAGAGTAAGGTTGCAGAGAGCCTTCAATGTCAGGCAAAGGAATTTGGATGTTATGCTGTATTCAGTAGGGTGCCATCAAAAATGGTAGCATGAGAGAATCTAGCCTAGTGACTGTATTAGTCTAGTCCACACACCACTTATGTGGAGAGTCATTACTTCAAAAAGGCCTATTCCATGCCGTTATAATTAAATCTAATCCCAGGGAAGTGACAGCCCAAGGCAAATCTTTGCTTCTGCTTGTTAGACTGGCATACTTGCTGTCCCCAAACACCTTGTGTGCATCCTGTTTCTTCAATTTAGCTCATGTAATTTCCCCTGTGCATAGTAGTTCTCCCTTCAGTTTCATCCATCTAAAACCTTATTCAACTTTTAAAATCCAGCTCAAGCCCCACCTCCCCTAGGAAGCCACTCCTAACACTTCCAACCACAATGTTCTTTCCATCTTCTGAATTCCAGTTGCATTTATTTTTCCTACTCATGCAATTAAAACTTTGAAACTCTTATATTGTTTCAGGTGTGTGTTTTATCTTTTCAAAGAGACCGTAAGATCATCAAGGACAAGGGACTATATCTCATACTTCTTGATCCACTAAGCACCTATTATTAAATATTTATTGTTTGTAGGAATGGTGAGTGAAGCTTTATCCCAATACGTTTTGGGAACCACTCCAATGTAGCTACCCTAATGCTAAACTTTGATGAAATTTTCCTACAGCCATTACAAAGAGACAGATTTTTCTACATTGTGGACAGACTGATGTTGAGTAAGAGTTGAGTTATGACTGAAAGTCTTTCCACATTCATTGCATTTATATGAGCTACTTCTAATGTGGATTCTCTGATGTTTACTAAGGTCTGACCTCTGTCGGAAGGCTTTCCCACACTCATCACATTGATAGGGCTTCTCCCCAGTATGTGTTCTCTGGTGTTGAATAAGACTAGTGATGCCACGGAAAGCATTCCCACACTCATCACATTTGTAAGGTCTTTCTCCAGTGTGGATTCTTTGATGTTCAGTAAGGACTGATCTTTGAGTGAAAGCTTTCCCACACTGATCACATTTATAGGGTCTCTCTCCAGTGTGAATTCGCTGATGCTCTATAAGGCTTGTCCTTTGAATGAACGCTTTCCCACACACGTCACATTTATAGGGTTTCTCCCCAGTGTGGGTTCTTTGATGTTGAATAAGGCCACTTTGACTAAAGGCTTTCCCGCATTCACTACATTGATAGCATTTTTCTTTGTGGTGGATTTCTTGATGTGAAACAAGGGATGAATTGTAAACAAAGGCTTTTCCACACTCACTGCACTCATAGGGTTTCTCCCCTGTATGAACTCCCTGATGTTGAACAAGGATTGAACGGCGACTAAAACTTTTATTACACTGACTGCACTGATGGGGCTTGTCTCTAGTGTGGATTTTGAGGTGATGAAAAAGACCTGCTTTCTGACTGAAGGCTTTCCCACATTCATTACAGTGATAATGTTTCTCTCCAGTATGAAGTCTCTGATGTTGATTAAGGGCTGACCACCGACCAAAAGCTTTCCCACACTCATTACATTTATAGGGTTTCTCCCCAGTATGGATTATTTTATGTCGAATAAGTACGGTTCTCCCACGAAAAGCTTTTCCACATTCTTCACATTTGTAGGGTCTGTCTCCAGTATGGATTCTTTGATGTTCAATAAGCCGAGAGTTCTGACTAAAGGTTTTCCCACACTCATCACACTCATAAGGTTTCTCCCCAGAACACATTCTCTTATTTTCAATAACACTTGGGCTCTTAGTGAAGTGTATTCCATTTTCATCACACTTAGACTACTGCTTATCCCCTGGAGGATATCCGCAAGCATCTTCTAACTTTCCCTCCTGCTGTTCATAGGTTTCTTCACACTCAGGACCTGTGGGAATTCCTTTAGTAAGTGTGCCAGATATTTCTCTGCTTGTTTCCATTTCTTCAAGGTTTTCCAGCTTTGAAGTCAACTTTCCATGGTCACTTCTGGTCTCGTCATCTGAAACTATAAAAGGAAGTGGTTAATGATACTTTTCCCCTGTGCTGGGAAGCAATAAATTGCAAGAGAGGAATAATATGGGACAGGATATGGACAGGAAGTAGACTTATGATTTCACTGAAATACTGAATAAGTGAACTTCTGCCAAAGCAGGTCTTAATGCAATAAACATGAACCAGAATCTATGGCTTGTCTGCAATAATTACTTCAAAATATGAGACAGGCAAGTCAATCAGAAAGTACTAGAAAAGTGATTTATTCAATAATGTTGCAGGTGATTTAAAAGCAAGGAATGCCAAATGACTCTTTCCATGCTATAACATGGAAACTATCCAGGCAGGAAGATGAGAAGTGAAGGGGAGGGGAAGAAGGAGGTTCAACTGAGATGATTTAATGTGTGATCCCCATCCTATAATGCAAGGAGACATGGCAGTAAAATTCATTCTATTTACACTTTCTGCATATAAAATACACATATACCAAGGGAAATTTTCACATTCTCCCACCTTTAATACTTAGTATTAGCTCTCCAGAGAAAGCTGTAAAGACTGTGAATAAGGAAAACGTGGCTGGTAATGGTAAACAATTACCAATCATATATGAAATAAGGGAGGAAACAAAATAATACTGAGGAAACATCTTGAGTGAAGCAATGGAATCATATATTTAAGGCTAGAAGGATTTCAGGATCAAGCCTGCTCCTCTTTGTTTCACAGAGAAAGAAACTGATTCTCAGGTCTCAGTGATTTGCCCAAGTTCACAAAAGCACTAAGTAGCAGCACTAGGATTTGAATTCCACATCGAGCGCTCTTTCCATCCTATGACCCATCAAACCAAAAAGTAGTTAAATATGTTAAGAAAAACGTTTGAAGCCTTGACAAAGTCAAAGAGATGTCATAACAATGTCATGATCTGGTAGTCATGACCTGTTTGGATAGAAGGTAGGAGCACTGAGTTTAATGATCAGGAAAGGGCTTAACTATGTGATAAAATGTGGCAGAACCTGGGGACATTTTGAATGTAAAGGGGGAAGTATGAAAGAACACTGGATTTGAAACTAGAGAACCTGGATTCAAATCAGAGCTCTGCCACGTGTGACCTTGGGGGAGTCACTTGATTTCCCAGGGCTGGTTTCCTTACCTTTAAAATTAGCAAGATGAGGGGCAGCTAGGTGGCACAGTGGATAGAGCATCAGCCCTGGATTCAGGAGGACCTGAGTTCAAATGTGACCTCAGATACATAACACTTACTAGCTGGGTGATCCTGGGCAAGTCACTTAACCCCATTGCCTAGCCAAATAAATAAATGAATAAATAGATAAATAAATAAATGAATAAATAAATATATATGTATGTATGTATATATATACATATATATTTAAATAAAAATGAGCAAGATGGACTAGATGATGTCCAAGGTGTCCTCCAAGTCTTACGTACTACAACAGGTTGCAATGGATGAAGGGAATGAAGAGTACACAGCAAGGCTGAGACCTGAGGAAACAGGAAAGTGACTTTTTTTAGCATAATGAGAAAGGGAACACTATCTATTTAGTAACTCTCCTCACCGTTCTCCACAGATAAATTAGTCCTCCATTCAATAAGCATTTATTAAGTTGTCACCATGTGTTAGGTATACTATGACAGGCACTGGGGATTCAAAGACAGTCCCTTTCCTTTAAAAGCTTAGGTTGTACTTGGGGAAAGTGGGGAGAAAGAAGTATACAGGTGAATAAATACAAAGTAAATAAATACAAATTTCCTCACCTCTCTCATGTAGGGATTGGGGGTCTGGTGATTCACACTTGAACAGGGCTGCCACCGGCCAGAGAGAGACACTCAAAGGTTGTGTTTTTTCTACAGATGCCACCTCCCTCAAAGACATTTCCTGTCCTTGTGTACATGCTGAGTCCTAGGGACAGTTAAGTTTAGTTGGGTTTGTGAGACAATCATTCTGGGAACAGAAAGCAACAATTTCACATTATCCAAAACAGGGAAAAGAAGCAACAATGCTCTGTTCTTTCTCATCTTTTTCTTTTCATACCATTTTCTCCAACCTGGAATGTTTCCTCCCTGTCACCTCTACCAAAATCCTACTCATTTTTAAGGCCAAGTTCAAATGTCACCTCTCCACAAAGTTTTCCCTGACAATGACCATATCTCTCTTTTCTGTCTGTTTATAGCATTTTACTTGTAATACAACATTCCTCATATTCTGAATTGTATTATGAGTTGTATTACAATTTGCATACATATCTTATTTCCCTTACTAGAGTATAAGCTCCTTAACATTAGAGATCATGCTTTACATCTTTGTACTTTGTACTCCCTACGGTGCCTTGCACTGACTCTTAAAGAGAACAGGAGAGGTAGCTAGGTGGCACAGTGGATAGAGCACCAGCCCTGGAGTGAGGAAGACCTGAGTTCCAGCCTCAGACACTTAACACTTACTAGCTGTGTGACCTTGTACAAGTCACTTAACCCTATTGCCTAGCCAAAAAAAACCCACAAAAACTCAAAAAGAAAACCAGGCAATACATACTTGTTGAAGAACATCCAGAGGAAGAAAGCCAGAATGGCCAAGGGCCTCAAATTCATGACTTATGTGCATCAATTGAAGGAACTGGGGATTTAGACCAGGAGAAGACTTAGGAGCTGTACAATTACTGATTCCAAGTAATCAAAGCACTAGCAGATGGGAAAGGGATTGAACTTGTTCTGCTTGACCCCAGAGGGCAAAATTGAGAGCAATGAGAAGAAGTGGTAAAAAGTCAGATTTGCTCTCTAACAATTAGTACCATCCTCCAGTAGAATGGGTGGCCTTAGGAGGTGGGGGGGTGGGGTTCTCCTCATTTAAGGTCTTCAAGCAAAGTTGGATGATGATCTTTGGGGGATGTTGAATCAAGGTGTCTTGTTTAGAACAGGTTAAACCTGTTTGCCTCTGAGTTTGCCCTTTCAAATCTGAAATCCTGTCATTCAGAATATTAAATGTCTCCTTCAATCTCAAAAGTCAAAGAGTAAAAGATTCAGGAACTATAGTCTCATCCAGGTCAAATGAAGCCTGAAACTGAATTCTCCTTTTGTCACTGATCTTAGTGCTTTTCAAAATGTTTCATTTTATGGCACCTCAGTGAAATTATATTTCTCCTTCACAAAATTTGCTAGGGGCACATTGAGGATGGAGAAGAGGAAATAGTCATCCTTTGAAAAATATGTGTTCGACATAACTAATGTGAAAATATGTTTAATAGGAATGAGTATATATAAGCTATATGAGATTGCACGTGGTTTTGGAGAAGGAGGTGGGGAGGGAAGGGGAGAAAAATTTAAAACTCAAAAGTTTATGGAAGCGATTATTGATAAACCAAAATAAATTTAAAAAAAGAAAATATGTGTTTGAATATATTTCAAACAGAAGAGGGAAAAAAGGAATTAAGAACAAAGAGGAGAAAAGAAATAAAGAGGGATGGAGCAACAGAGAAGATATGAGAGGGGAAAAATGTAACAGAAAAGGGAAAAGGGGAGAGAAGAAAGGATAGGAAGAAGCTGAGAAAAGAGAAGAGAAAAAAAGGAGAGAATGCAGAGAAATGAGGAAAACATATGGGGAAAGAAGGAAGAGAATTGAAGGAGAGAATTTGTCTAGCACACTCTACACAACAGATGTTCCAAACTTTCTTTACTTCAATTCCCAAATCCACATCCACCCTGTCATTCCTAGTAGATGGTTGTACCTCTTATTTTGAAGATATCACTGGTTCTGGAGTCAGAAGATCTGGGTTCACATCCCACCCCTTGACATTTACCAGTATGTGACCTTGGTCAAGTCATTTAACCTGGGTCCTCAGTTTCCACATCTGTAAAATGAGGGGAGCAGGATTAAATGATCCCTGAGATCCCTTCCAGCTACAGGTCTACGACCCAATTTAAAATCTAACTGAGATTAAAGGCATGAGCCACAAGGTCTCACATCTTCTCCTTCTCTCTACTTCAAAAGTATTTTTTCTCTCTATAACCCATCTTTCCTCTTAGCTCTGAGGAGGACATAGCCTTCTCCTTTTGATGCTCTCGATTTCATTCTCTTTTGCCTCTTTTGGGACCTTGACCCCTTAATTATATATTCTCTTTCTCTCCCTCCCTCCCTTTCTATTTCATGACTTTAAATATGTACCTTATCTTAGAGGAAAAAATAAGATTTGACCCTTCTACCCCTCATATCTTTTCCCTTCATTTCACTACTCAACTTCTGCTGATTGATTCCACCATCCATTCACTTCTTGAGCAGAATTTCATCCCAGGCATGTGTTAATATAATAACAGCTGACTTTTATATAATGTTTTAAGGTTTGCAAAGCGTTTTATAAGTAATTATCTTGCTTAATCCTCAAAACAACCCTCTAAAGTAGGTGCCATTATTACCCCCATTTTACAGATAAGTAAATTGAGGATAAGAGGTTAAGTGATATGCCGAGATAGTAAGGCTATAACTAGTAAATATCTGAAGCAGAATTTGGACTCAGGTCTTCCTGACTCCAAGTTCAGCATTCCATTTAATGTACCACCTGGCTTCTTATTATTAAAGAAGTGAGGTATACTAATTAACTGCATGAAAATTGGCTAGAAGATTTGCTGTGGATTCCACTGGGTATACCCTGGCTATTTTACTGATGTTCCCAATACACCTAAACCATCATCTTTCCCTAATGACTTCTCTATTTTTATCAAGGAATCATTAAGTGTTGAGGGCTGGCCTTAAGAGTCTGATATGGATTTAAGATCCAGGACAGAGTTTGACCTTTGCCCAGGCTTTAACCCAAAGGGCTCAATAATTAAGAAGCAGGGCTCTCCAAATCTCTCCCTGCTAGGAGGCTCCTGAGACATTCCTTCCCACTCTTTGAACCTTAGATTTACATATTCACTCCTCTATACAGGCGCCAGGAAAAAGCCTTGGAATTTACAACCCTATCTAGGAACTCTGATAAGGAGGAAATGTATGTTATCACATCCTTAGCAGATGTTTCAGGGAGTGTCTCACGGAGAGGACTCTTTGAAGTTAGGATGGGTTTTCTCTATATATCCTGTACCCTTAGATGAATAAACTGAGTCAGTTCCTACTGCTCCACCTGGCCCACGTCTTGCAGTTATTTTGTGCCTTTCCATTCGGTGTACTATCTGGTTGCGGGCAACAATTAAGATTTTAAATCATTGGGACAGTTAGGTGGCACAGTGGATAGAGCACCAGCCCTGGAGTCATGAGAACCTGAAATCCAGCCTTAGACATTTACTAGCTGTGTGACCCTGGGCAAGTCACTTAACCCTGACTGCCTAAAAAAAAATTTGAAGTCATCTATAATTTATTATAGATGATAACGATATTAAAATATATTATATGTAATATATAATTATATGTAAATTGTATGTATATATAATATAATTTATCAAGTCCTATTGTTCTTTACTCAGAATGTCCTTTGGATGAATCTCTGTCTCTCTTCTCTCCCCTTATTGCCACTTGCCCATTTTAGGTGTTCATCAATTTATAAATGTATTTCTTCAATAACCTTATACCTGATAGTCCTACCAACAGTCTCTACAATTAATTTTTCAACATACCGCCAAATTAATTTCCTAAATTTTTTAATGTCATTCATTCCATTGCTTAAAAAAAAATCAATGGCTCCCCACTCCTTATAGCCTTGATTCCAAACCTCAGATTACAACCCAAACTAGGGTCACTGAAGATGTATAAAAGGGTCATGAAAACTTGAAGCAGCCTCTGGGCAAGCTCAGGAAAGAACTAGGATTATGTCCAGAGCCTTTTCTAGGCCACATAGGGAAGTGGAACTCTGGAGACCAATCAACATTCTCTCTACCCCTTCTCATCACCTATCTCTAGATACTAGTGAGCTCAACTCAAGTTGGAGCAAGAGCAGGCAATCAGATTATAACCCGCTTAAAGACAGGGCCAACATCTTAGTCATTTTTGTATCTCAGTGCCTTGAGCAGCATCCTAGATGTAATAAGCACTAAATGTTTGTTGAAGTGAAATGAATGAGAAACCTGAAGATCTTTACAAGTTCTCACTGAATACCATGCTTATTGCAGGTAATCAAAATGCTGTCAGAGACCATTAGTGCCCATACAATGGCTAGGGAAAGAAAGTGAAAGAAAGTGAAAGAAAGCTCCAAAGTATGGAAGCTGGTGGTGAAAGTTTGGGACCAGAGATACTGGCATCTTGAGATGCATTCCCTTCCTTCCTTCCCATCTTTAACTTCTTAACCATTCCCTTACTAAGGACAGATAAAATTAGTTGGGTTCTTTTAGGCAAGTCTCATCTCCCTCCAACATGGATTCATATTTCCCCTATATCAAGCATGAATATAGCCAAAGTCTGCCACTGAGTAGAGGGTGATTTGAGAGGCAGGGGGAGGCCTTTTTTGTCCCAAATTAATCACCTGCATCTTGAATACAACATTTTCTAAAAATAGGTAAAATTCTTCTCTTTTAGGGATGAGAGACAGTGTGGCATAGTAGATAAAGAGCTGGCTTCAAAGACAGCTATTGGGTCACTAAATAAAGTTCAAATTCAAGGCCTTCTACAATCTGGCCTGAGATGATGATATCTACCCATATGTCCTACCATTACACTTACAATCCAAACAAATCATTATATTTGCTGCTCTCAGTATTCTACCCTGTGGTAGAATAATCTCTCTAGCTACATCTAACTTCAAGACCTTAAGAAAGTTCCTCCTCCTCTGGTATAGCCCTGACTACTCCAGACACATTGAACATTTGTTCTTCTGAATGTCTTTAGCACAAATTGTCTATACTAATTGGCATTGATCATATGTTGCCTTGGCTTGTTAATTTTCATAAGTTATGTTTCATCTTTTGAATTAGATTGTAAATTCCTCAATTCATTTCCATAAATATTAAGAAAGTCATTGTTCTGGGCACTAGAGATATAAAGGAAAAAAGATAATATTACTGCCCTCTAGGAGCTTACAGTCACAGCTTAATACTTACATCTTCCATGGTGCTAAATGAAGAGCAGGCATTAAATAATGAATGAATTTTAATTAATTAATAATTTAATGAAGTGCAAGAGGAGTTGAAAATCAAAAAGATGTGTCATTATCCATCAAAAACCTGGGAGAAGCAATAGAACAAGAAAAGAGCTACAGTGAAGCAGAGATAGCACTAGATGAGGACCTGGAAGGCCTGGCTTCTACACCCAGCTCAGCAACTCAAGAGCTATACTTGTAAAAGAGGTCGATTTCTAAGATGCCTTCCAGCTCTAGGACTTTATGGCCTATGGTCTTGGTAATATAAGAAATAACATTTCTGGATCACTGCCACTAATCATATGAGATAGGGACAGAGTATAGGAATGGTCTTAGGAGAAGTACTGTAAGTAAGAAACTTCTCCCACCCTACCCTCTTCTCACCACTGCTTCCCCATCTCATTTCTCCAATGGTAACTCCTGTTCTGAATACCATCAATTAAGAGTTGCAGGGGCAGTACAAAAATAGGACCTTGACCTTTCATGACAGTTATATTTCTTCACTGAAGCAATATGAACCCCATCCCTGCCTGTTTCACATCTTTTCTCCATGACAACTGTATTTACTTCTAAACAGAAAAGTCGAGGCAGTAAATAGTGCTATTCAGTTTAGAAAGAAAACCATGGAGGCAGGAACTGCCAAGGGGGCAGTTCAGGTCAGCAATTTGCCACAATACATTTAGTATATATTTTGGATGCACCAAAGTATATAAAGTAATACCTTTTGGTGGGTGATCCTTAAAGGACTGCAGATACACACCCCTGCTGGCCCACAAAAAAAAAAACAACCCAAACCCTCCCACACATCTCACTTCCCACCTGCTGTTCTGGTTCATCAAGCTCTCTCTCCAAATCCTCCAGCACAGTTACTGCCTCCTCTCCACTCTGTGGATGATGTTTCCGCACCCAGGTCTGAAGTTCCTCAGGCAGGATGGTTAGAAATTGCTCCAATACCAGAAGCTCCAAGATCTGTTCCTTCGTGTGTATCTCTGGTCTGAGCCATTGGTGGCAGAGCTCCCGGAGTCTGCTCAGAGCCTCTCGAGGCCCAGAGGTCTCTTGGTAGCAAAACTGCCGGAAGCACTGCCGGAAACACTCCCTGGGATTGAGATGCTTCTTTGGCAGGGTGGAATCTTGCCTGAAATTGTAACCCTCATGCTCAATTTTCACTTTCAAAATTCTCTCGTGGTCTTCTGCAGTCTCAGTGTCCCAGGGAGTTGCCATTCTACGCCTGAAGAGCGCTGAAGTTCCACTCTAGGCAGTTACAATGTTTCTGCTGATTCATTCATTTATGAGTAGTGATACAAATACTGAAGAAATTTAAACATTAACTAATGAACATCAATTCGCTGAAGATAAGGAAACTCTTAAAAAATAAGAAATAATCATGAATGAAAGAATATTTTAAAAGGAAAAGCATTCTTTTTAAAGAATTTAAAGAATAAAAAGAGAAAATTAAAGAAGGGATGGAAGTGAAATTACATTACAGGGGGGAATTCCCTTAATTGGAGATTTAACGTCTCCGGGCCCGTTTCCTCATAGGGTATTTGTATTGGATTATCCCTCCTACAATCCCTTTCAGCTTTATAAATCTCAATCTTTGACCAGAGCGGTAAATCCCAGTCTGTTCAAGCCCCCTGGGAGACAAAGGTTACTAGCCCAGCCCGGGGCTTTGGCGCTTTCCGTGACCAGGCTTCTCTTGGGCTCCGAAGTGATCAGAGGAGCACCTCTGACCCGGGGCCCCCAGATTCCCAGGCGCAGAGCAGGGTTTGGCTCGGCCGCCAAAGGAGACCGGCCGGCAGGCGGGCACGGGCGAAGCTCTGCCCTACTACCCAGCGGAGAAGAAGCTGGTGCGCCCGCCCTCCTGGGCGCTTCGGGGACGTGCAACCCCGCTCACTTTCAGGGGCGCGGTGGGGAAGCGACACTAGACCAGTTAAGACGCCCCCACACCCACGCCAGGTTACCCACAAAGACCGGAAGTGTGTCAGCGAGTCTCCCCGGGTTTGGGGAAAACAGAAGAGTACAAACCACGCCACCCCAGCCCACTCCCGTGCACTTCCGGGTTCTCTCTAGGAATTGGAGGTGATCCTAGGATTCTTTAAAATAAATAAACGGCATTTTAAATGATAAATGTGTGACAAAAGCTAACAAATTCAATACTCAAACAGAAGCAAGCAACAACAACAATAAAATCATAAATGTCTACCATTTAATTTATCCCAAACAAGTTATCTAACAAAGTAATAACAAACTCACTACCACTACCACCTTTTCGGAAAGGAATGAGGAGGAAGAAAACAATCAATGCTATTCCACCAAGCAAGATACTATCGCAGCTACAATTTGGGGAGTATAACAGTAGAGGCACCCAGAAGTTCAAAAGAGACAAAAATCCAAGAAAAGAGCCAGTAACAAAGTCATTTGCCATTTTTAAAAAGGGGGGCAGGGGAGGTTGGTAGCTTTTTTTGTTTGTTTTAGCTCCTCAATCTTTTTGACCAATGTGTATTCTCTGTTCACTAACTGTCTTCATTATCTGATTGTTAAATTGGGCCTTATTTCTTTGATTGGAGCAAAATATAGAAAGAACGTTAAATCTGATAGTAGTATAAGATGTTGGACAGCATTATGAGTAAGATATTTAATATGAAAATATGTGCCAACTATTACTCTGGTCTCGTTCTCAGAGTGAAACTGGTTACATCTCTTCTTCAGGATTCTTTTGAGGGGTTGAGGGGTGTTTTTCTCTAATATTATTGGCTCAAGACCCCCCCACTCTTAGCTGCCATAGATATTATGAATTGATATCAATAACTTTTTGAAAAGGGATATTTGTTTCAAATACCCTCCTCTACATAAACTTTTGGAGCATACTCTCCCCTATACCAACTTGGACCTAGGGGAGAGTGAGCTCAAACTTAATGCATTTTTCTCCATAGCATTATTCCCATTAAGTTTACATCCAAAGGCTACATCACTGATGGATAATGTCTCAGTTACTACTAGGCTATGTCTAGAAGGTCAACTGTTTGCTCTTCAAGCCTCAAAGCTGAAGAAACTGCAGTATAGATTCCCATCTTGGACCTCCTGGTAGCTTGTTTTCCTGACTTCTCAAAACTTAAAAGGATGTGGTCTCTAACCTCCTTCACCTAAACTAAAGAGTAAACACTGTACTCCTGGGCCATATATGTCAAACCCAGATGAGGAGGATCCAAGGCCTTTTTCTTATAGAATTATACCTCTACTCCCTCCAGAAGACCACCAGACAGATAGAAAAACCAAAGAGAAACAGGTTTTGGTCAAATGGTGTCTTTTGAACTCACTTCAGTTCTAACTATCCAGACAATGAAGAGAGCTATTCTTCACCACCTGGTGAGTGGACTAGAATCAGTTACAAAATGTTTCCACATGCTCAAAGGTCCACATGAGCATTATTTCAGCAGCTTGGAATGTTTGTTCTTGCTTGAAAGGTCTATAGACTCATTAGCTATTCCCCTGTTACATATGTTTGTGGCCTTCAAGAGGGCCACATACCTAGTAACAGGCAAACAGCAATAGTTTAATCATAAAGTTCTTAAAATGAAAATGTAATGAAAATAGTTAATAACCTTTGTTATGAAATCTTGATTAGAAAATACTTCGTAGTTTCTTTTTTGCTTAGTTTAGTCCTTAAAGTTTGATGTTTTTCTTAATGTTTCATCTTTTTTGTTGTTAGAGCATTTGTAATTTAATAAATATTACAGTTTGCTAAAAAAAATTAACCTACATAGCATAAGTAATAAGCAAGATCCTAATAAAAAGAGCCAGATTTGACTTCATAGGTAGCACCAAGACTTAGTAGGATGAGACCCTTACCTGGAATGTAATTGGAAGCATATAAGTTATTCAAAAGAATAGGATAAGTAAAAGGGAGGCTTTAGGAACAGTTCAGTTAAATTTTTAAAACTTTTGTTAATTACTAAGAGTTTGCTAGGCACTACAAAAAATATAAAGTTTGGATATGACATAGACTGTTTGAATGAAGTTTATGGTCAGATAGTTCAGGGATCCATCACTTCATGGATGTGGACATTGCACCAAAGAGCATAGAAATCCCACTTTCACATCTTAGTAAATGTGTTAATGATTTTGATGTGGCCAACCCCTCCCCCAAAACATACTCCAACACACAATTTATGACCTACTGTTGGTGAAGAGTCTCAATGTAGAATGGTTCTCAGATGACAGGCGATTGCATAGTCCACTGCTACAGGGTACCCTAAGCCTTCCCTACTACAGTCAGGATCTTATTATTCAAACTTTTGAAAACCCCCAAAATCATCTTCATACTGTGACAAAGCATCTGAGTAAGAATTTAGTAAAGGGGCCTAAAAAGTTTACAATAATATTCTCTTTTCATTCTAGCTTGCCCTTGAAAAAAGTGAAACACTTATATGAACTAATGAAGAAAGCAGAACCAAGTAGTAATCAATGTAAATGGCACCCCTGGCCACAATAGATCTTAGATGAGCCCCCACAGTGTAGAATCCCATAAGGCATAGCCACCCCTGGATTGGCTCATTCACCCAAACCTGCCTTCACCCTGACAGTTAATAATATTATAATAATAACTAGCATTTCTATGGAACCTACTATGTGCTAGGCACATTACAAATATTATTTCATTTGGTCCTCACAACAATGTAAGAAAGTAGATGGCATTATTATCCCCATTTTACAACTGAGGCAAACAGAGGTTGAGTGACTTCAAGAAGGCCACATAGCTAGTAACTGTCTGAGGCTAGATTTGAACTCAGGTCTTCCTGACTCTAGGCACAACACTAATCTACTGCGCCACTTGGTTCCTAGAGAAGGAACACTGTCAATCAATCAATAAACAGTCATTAAGAACCTACTACAGTATGTAGCAGAGACTGTGCTAAGCACTGGGAATACAAAAAGAGACAACAGACAGTTCTTGCCTTAAAGGAACTTACAATCTAACAGGAAAAACAACTTGCAATCAAATATATACAAGGCAAGCTATATACAAGGAGGATAAATAGAATATAATTAACAGAGGAAAGGCACTGGAATGAAGAGAGGTTGGGGAAGACTTCTTATAGAAGGTGAGATTTTAGTTGAGACTTAAAGGAAGCCAGGGAGGTCAACAGTTGGAGCAGAAGAGGGAGAATATTCCAGGCATAAGGGACAGCCAGAAAGAATGCCTAGAGCTGAAAGATGGAGTATCTTGTTCATCAAACAGCCAGAAGGGCAGTGTCACTGGGTGGAAGAGTAAGCTGCAAGAAAACTGGAAAGGTAGGAGGAGGTTAAAGTTATGAAGGGCTTTAAATGCCAAACAGATGGTTTTGTAGGAAGGGAATGACTGGAGTTTACTGAGTAGGAGGGTGACATGGTCAGACCTGTACTTTAGGAAAATCACTTTGGTAGTTGAATGGAGAATGGATTGGAATAAGGAGACTTGAGGCAAGCAGGCATAAATAATCAAAACTATATTTTACTAAAAAGTATCATAGACAATTAATTAATATCAATACTGAACATATATGCACCAAATGGTATAGTATCTAAATTCTTAAAGGAAAAGTTAAATGAGTTACAGGAAGAAATTAGACAATTAAAATATAACAGTGAGAGACCTCAATTTACCCATCCCAGACCTAGACTAATCAAATCAAAAGAACAAACAAGAATAAAGTTAAGGACCGAAATAAAATTTTAGAAAATTAGATATATTAGATTTCTAGAGAATACTGAATGGTAATAGAAAAGAATATATCTATTCTCAGATGTATATGACACATTCACAAAAATTGACCATGAATCAGGGTATGAAAATCTCATAAGCAAATGCAGAAAAGCATAAATATTGAATGCATCTTTTTCTAACCACAATGTAAAATAAATAAATAAATAACATTCAATAAAAGCAAAGATGAAGCAAAGATTAAAAATTAATTGAAAACTAAAAATCCTAAATAATATCAAAGAACAAATTACAGAATAATCAATAATTTCATTAAAGATAATGAAAAAATGAGACAGGATACCAAGATTTATGGAATGTAGTCAAAGCAGTATTTAAGGGAAAATTTATGCTTCTAAATTATTTAACCAAAAAAAGAAATGAAGAGCAGTTCAATGGATTGGATATGAAATAAAGAAACCTAGAAAACCAACAAATTAAAACCCCTAATTAAACACCAAAAAACAAATTCTGAAAAATCAAAAAAGAGATTGACAAACTTGAAATTTAAACAAAATTGAATCAATAAATAAAACTAGGAGCTTTAAAAAACAATAAAATATATAAACTATTACAAATTTGATGAAAATTAAAAGAAAGAAGAAAACCAAATTATCTGTATAAAAAATGAAAAAGGTAAATTCACAACTAATGAAAAAGAAATGAAAGCACTTATAAAGAACTATTTTGCCCAACTATATGCCAATAAAATGAACAATCTAAATGAAATGGAGGAATATTTACAAAAATATAAATTGCTCATGTTAATAGAATATTTAAATGACCCTATTTTTGAAAAAGAAATTGAACAAGCCATAAATTAATTATCAAAGAAAAAAATCCCAGGACTAGATGGATCTACAAGTGAGTTCTATAAAACATTTAAAGAAAAATTAATTTTGGGCAGCTAGGTGGCACAGTGGATAGAACTCTCTTCTTGGAGTCAGGAGGACCTGAGTTCAAATCTGGCCTCAGACACTTGACACTTACTAGCTGTGTGACTCTGGGCAAGTCACTTAACCCTCATTGCCTAAGGGGGAAAAAAAAGATAGAGGATGAAGGATGAACAACAACAATAACAACCCCCCCACCCAATTAAAAGAAAAAAAAGAAGAAAAATTAATTCCAACGTTTGGGAAAAAATGGTAAAAAAGAAAAAAGAGTTATACCAAATTCCTTATATGACACAAATATAGTCTTCATACTTAAACCACTGA